CTTTAATGAGCCAATATATAATATCAACTAATAAAAATAAGTTAATTTTATAATTTATCGAGCCTTAACAAGTCGACTGCTGGTTAACTAAACGAGCCTTAAAATAAACTTGAAGATAAATTATTCGACTCAAGCTTTAACCTAACGCTCATTCTAAATGATTAATTGAGAACATTCCTCTTGGGATCCTATTCTATTCACTCTAAGAAATAATTAAAATTACTAATAACATAATTTTTATTAATTAAATAATAACAATGAAGCCTCGCAAAACGTTAAAAGCGTACGTAACAAAACAAAGCACCATTTATTATCTCTTTTACGAGTGTTTGCCACATGTAATGTGGCCAAGAAAGACTATATACACTCTAATCTTCTCTTTTCCACACCGTTAGATTTCCAAATTCGAGAAAATAAAGAATCATAATCCCATTCTTACCCTTTATGGAAAAGGACAAAAACTCTCAAAGCAGATTTTTTGGACTTTTAAGATGTGCTTAGTTGTAATTTGTTCCATGTAGCCAAATTTATGTCCACAAGCCCATCTTGTGGACTTCAAAATAGGATTTCGTGGGCCTGGGCCACTCGGTTGGGTAATTAATTAAGGCCACGAGAATATTTAGCAGCCCATTTAATGATGGTTTTGGAAGTAGTTGTGCGGGTTAACTATTTATTTCCAAATGTGGTAAGCTTTATCACAAGGCATCGCATCTAAGCAGCCTTGTTAAGTCAGTAATGGAATTTTTTAGTCATTTATTACAAGTCATTGACAACTGTGTTGAAAGCTTAATAATAATATTATTAATATATATATATTTTTTAAAAAAAATTTATTAGTACTATTTTTTGGTTGATTTTTGTCGTTTTGCTTAAGGGGCGGTTTGTTTGCAAATCTAATACAGTATACGTTTTACGGTTTTACCATTTTTTTTCTTTTATTTATATTCTTTAATTAAAATTAGTTTTGCTTGTCGTATCCAACTTTTATAAAGTTTAATAATTATTTTTCATGTTAAAGACAAAAGACTTGTTTGGTAATAAACATTTTTGGTATTAAATCAAAGTTTGATTGTAATTAAAGGTTCAACCCAGTGGTTTAAATACCGGTGGCCATACCGGTCTAGCCACGGGTACGCGGTATTACCGGTCAGACCGGTAATGTCGGCGGTATTACCGGATTAGCAAATATAGTGCTATATATAAATATACATAAAAATATATAATGTCAAATGCAAAAAAGTAGAAATATAAATAACCATAATCATTAATTTAAACTTCTCAATAGCATGAAAATATAATATTTTAACTACCAACTTAAATTTTATTATTTTAAATTAAAAAAAAAATTATTTTTTTATTGGCCGGTTTTTAGACCGGCATTTTGCGGTTTTTACGGTATGATCCCGGTACAAACCGGTATAACCGTAAATCTGGTATTTTGAGTGTAATTGTACCGTACCAATGGCCGGTATCCGGTATTACCGGTATTACCGGCCAGTATGGTACGGTATTTAAAACATTGGTTCAACCTGTCTAACTTTTAATTTTTATTGTTTTGTTAGTATGGATTTGAAATAACCTTTCTTTTAAAAAAAAAAAAAAGGCAAATTATTTTTTAAAAAAAAAGGCAAATTTTATAAATCTTAGTACATGAGCCTTTCGAATTGAGGATTTCCATATTATTAGTTACTTTTATAAATGAAATAATTAATTATTTATCAAATATTTCATAGTTGATTGATTCAACGAGTTAGTCATCATGTATCCGCTATCAATTAATTTTACTTTTTTTTTACAAGAAAAGAGGCTATGCAAAGTTTATACTACTATATGACAACCGACCGAGAATAGACCACTCCAACTTGGTCATGAAGTAACCATATGCCAGCTCCTATCGGGGGCTGGTCCAAACGATGAAGACCTCCTGGGCTGTTAGGCGCTAAAGACGCCAGATAGTCAGCAACGAAATTTACTTTGCGATAGCCATGAGAAAGAGACACCTCCCATTGCCGACTCAAAAGATCCTTTATTCTCGATAAAATACCCTTGTGAGGTCCGACTTCAATTTCCTGTTGGAGCATCTCAATGATGCTCTTGTTGTCGACCTCAACCTGAACTTTTCGATAGCCATGAGAAAGAGACACCTCCCATTGCCGACTCAAAAGATCCTTTATTCCCGATAAAATACCCTTGTGAGGTCCGACTTCAATTTCCTGTTGGAGCATCTCAATGATGCTCTTGTTGTCGACCTCAACCTGAACTTTTCGAGCCCCGACATCCCAAGCCAGTGATAAGCC